ATTGACATGGATTTATTGAGTTGATTTATCGATTCGTCTGCCGTTGCATTGACTGGTTTTATTGACTATTGGATTTTCGTATTGCATAGATTCATTGACCATTGACTGATATTGATTTGATTGATTGACATGCATATTGATAGCATCGCCGTGCTTTGATTTCAGTTATAGGTATTAGGTGACCTGCTGGGCTTTGTAAAGCTCATTATATGTGGTTGATATTTTCAGGTCAGGGCAAGGGAGCAGAAGATAGGAATTGATCCGGATCTTCAGGTTTTTGTCTTTTGATTGATTTTGATTCTTTTGTACTCAGGATAGATTTCAGTACTGGTGATTGTAGTGTAGTTCCTGAGTATTGTACATGACTTTTGAGATATGAATCGACTTGTATATTGATGTTTTAAATTTCATAGATGCTTGATAGACTGCTTAATTGAAGGTTTTAGATAACTCTGGTAAATTGTTTGAGTAATAGATTGACATTCTTTCCAAGTTTGATCTTGGGGCATCACATTGCTAACTTCATTTATCTTCACGCACCTCAAGCTCAAGAAGTTGAAGACCTTCTGAATAGTTCACTAGAGATCATGACAATAAGAATCTCATACTCCATTTGATTATTGGTTACCAAGAATTCTATGAAGACCGTTAAGATTAATATGAGACAAAGATGTTCAAAGCTTTATAATTATTAATAATTATAAATTTTGTATTGTCTAACATGTGGAGAATTTTAATATATTTGTAAATTTTAATATTTCCTTTTTTTTTCAAAAATGAATACAATAGATAATCTCATCCCTTGGTCAATCTTATCAACTCACCCATGCTGTAACTCAGTTGATCAGTAGCAACCAATCATTTTGGTTAAGTTGTGGCTGTCACTGATAGAGTCCTTAATCAATAAACCTACTATAATAGTTTTGAGTTCATTCTGTTATATGAATTTAATAAATAGTTAATTGAACTATAAGTAACATCACAACACCTATTTATTGTCATCAAATTATGTTAAACTTCCCATTTGAAATCTTCGCAAACTTATATTCATGGAATATTTAGAAATAAGGTGCAAAATACAAACCCTTTAGATTTTCATACATAAATAAATTTGAATATTTTGGATGACTTCCCTAAATTGTTGCACTTTATAAAACATGTATATCTATGACATGATGATTTCATGTACACAATAAACTATCAAATCAATTCATGGTGTCAACCAAAAAAAAAAAAAAAAAAATCCTATATCATATAGAATAAGTGACGGGCGTCAATCATAAATTAAACACCAGATGTATGCCGACCAAAAAACTCACTTTTCACTCCAAAACATTGTAAAACTTCAAAAGGGGTAATTCGTTTCAAATTGAACTCCATTTCATCCGCTTCTTCATCTGGTTGCCAAAGGTAACTATCTTTCTCCTCTTTCATGCGCTTTTTTGGCAAATTCCGAACACAAAAAAATAACATGTGTGAATAGTGTGACGCCAGTATTGGCATCACACTGTTCACTCCATAAGAATAGTGAGCAAAAATGTGTTTGATTGGATCGTTTGGAGGATGTCAATCGTATGTATGCCAGTTGATTTTAGATGCTCCAAGCCATGAAGATATAACCAACATATCCCAAGATCATTTTCTCATACTTCCTCTTTTGACATCATCAAATGAAAAAAAAAAAAAAAAAAAAAAAAAAAAAAAAAAAAAAAAAACAAGCTGAATTTGAGGTTAAGATATATATATACAAAACACAAATAAATATTGCATTAAAAACAGGCCATGCAACCGTCATACATTGGAAGAGTCCTTAAACATTTAAACTCTTATGATTTATTTGATTTTACATTGTTACATAAAGAAAAATTAGGTTGGTAAGTTTACAAGTATTACACAATTTATCAATTATAATGAAATGCAATATTTGCTTTAAATTATATATTTTTCATTATTTTTTCATATCTTAATATATTTTCATAATAAATCTGCCCCTTCTTAAACCACAAGCTGGTTTTGCACCATCTTATCTTTTTAAACATGCCAACACTCAATTTTTTTTTTTTTTTAAAATTACTACAGCATCTATCTTCTTTTAAACAATTAAATTTATTACAAATAGTAATTATTTTATTAAAAAAAAAGCAGTCGAGCTAGCTCGCGAGTTCACGAGTCAAGCTTTATTAAGCTTGAGCTCGAGCTCGCGGCTCGATAAACTCGACTAGTGAACTCGTTATTGAGTCAAGTTCGAGCCGGCTCAATTTTCTTACACCCCCTAATCATAGCTACTAGCTCAGTGTATTCTTCAGAGTATAAGTTTTATATGTAGCTGGGAAGAAGATCTTGCACCTCGAGCTAGTATGTCTACCCTCAAGATCCTTCTAAGTTGGAGGTAAAGGATTGTTATAGCCTTCCTTTTCATCATGACAATCATCATCATCATAATTTAAAAACTTACACACCATGGAAAACAAAAAAAAAAAAGTATAACTATAACAGCCCTCTCTGTAGTGATTACATTTTTATTTAAATCAAACGTAATAAAACAGAAGCAATACAAGCTTATTTGATAATACATATTAAAAACTTGCTAATGAAAGTATGCAACACACATAAATATAAGCTGATGCTATAAATCTCGTCATAAATTAACTCTTAATTAACTATTAGCTGAAACGAGTTTGTTGATGGTGTCCACATCAGTTTTGAAGGATTGGGCCAAAACCCAATTGTAAATCCCACTGCCAAAAATGTTCTTTGGTAAAGAGATAGTTCCAGGACTGGCACTGCCAAAAGCAGAAACAGCAATTGCAGGGTATTTGGAGTCTCCATTAACCTGGAAGTGAACAAGTCCTTTGGGGAATATAAATGCATCGCCTGCATATAACGTCTGCGTGTAGAGCTTATTAGTTGAATCAACCAAGCCAACAATAACCGCTCCCTGTATCACAAGCAAGAGCTCTGCTGAGCGAGGATGAATATGAGGCGGGTTGATACCGGTGGGACGGGGCTCATACTGGAGAACAGCAAGGGAGACACTTTGGCCTGTGAGTGCAGGGAATTCTACTTGACTTGCTTTGGTCGCCTTGAAGGGAACACCTTTTGGTCCGCCATTAATGGCATCTCTAAGCCCTGTGAAGGTGAAGAAGTTGCCGTCTGGAGTGCTTCCAGGAGGAGTAATTATATATAATGTTTTTTTTTTTATGGTATAAAATTATTATACCAGAACATGTAGCACAGAAAGATTATGGATGTAATAAAATGGGTCAATTAATGTAAAAAACATATCATTTTTTTTTTCTCTGGCAATAACATGGTAAACTCCCAAGATTTTTCTTTCTCGCATTACTGAATTCGATCTGTGCAACAAACAAAATTTTGAAAAAAATAAATTTGATATTCAGCACGTTCATCTGTTCGAATTATAATTTTTGTTTTTCAAATATTCAAAATTAAATTTTGTATTGAAACAGAGCAAGACTTAGGGTTCGTTTGAGACGGCTTTTTTATTGCTTTCTAAAATGGAGTTTTAGTACAAATTTTTTTATTTTTTACTAAAACTCCGTTTTAGAAAGCAATAAAAAAGCCGTCCCAAACGAAGCCTTAGTCTCTATTTGAGACAGCTTTCAAAATGCTTTCTAAAACATATTTCTAGTATAAAATTTTTTAATTCAAGAAATTTTTATACTAAAAAGCTATTTAGAAAGCAACAAAAAAGCTGTCCCAAACTAAAAGCCCTATTCCCTGCATAATAACTTGGAGTGCTTCGTGGAAGATGGGATCTGCATGTTTTTAACTTTAAACTATTATTCAGCATTCGTCGTTAAATACGCCAATAAGTCCACATGATTCAGTAAAACAAGCTTTCTAAAATGTGTAAAGACAATGTCAATTACAGTTCAAAACTAGCTAATATTGCTGCAACCAAACAAAGTGCTGGTGAGGGTTTTATTTCTCTACATTTGGCACAACTCGGTGATTATGCCCATCACATTCAAGTTATAAACAAAGAGATTGTTTGGCCATTGGCTTCTAATTTTTTTTTCTTTTTACCAATTTTTCAACCTTCTAATTAAGGCTATCGATCAGCTTGCTGTTCAATAGTATCTCATGGTTATGTTCATGTGCCAACAACAGGCCTTACCAAGTGCATTGTCGCATGGGATGTAGTGAAGTAACTCAGTCCAATGTGTTCTTGGCTTCATGATTTGGGCCTGGTGCTTGTGACTCTCTCTTATCGAGGAAAAATTATTCTGTGGATTCCGGATGGTGTCCGGAAACTAATCATAACGCACTATGTCATTTTTTTGTTCAGTATCGGTGCTCGGTACTGCTCTGTACCGGGTGATGGGGCACGTTCTAATTGGTCTCCAGACAGTCCGGTGTTCGCACAAAATAATTTCACCTCTTAGAGGTCTTTGTTCAAGTAAAGAGATGGACTTGTGCATGAGTGTTGTGCTTCAATGCTCGACCAACAATAATAATAAAAAAGCAATAGTCAATGCATCATTATCAACAAATTGCTATTACATATAAAATTTGTAATAAGTAAACGAGTACCTGAAATGAAAGGGTTAGAGCAGAAAGAATAACAGAGAGGAAGGACCAAGCTCGTTCTTGTTCTTCATTAGAATAGAAGAAGAAGAATAAATTGTTCTGCTACAGTGAAATATTATATAGAGAAGAGGAGATGTGCAGGTGAGCTGTTGCGGGTCCTTTTCTGTGCCAGAGAAAGTGATGCCGGTAACTGTCAGGAGGCGGTAGTAGTGGACACGTGATTATGTTGGCTAACAATAAGGACTCTAAAGTATTTTTGGAACTACAAATATAATTGATGGTGTAATCAAAATAAAAGATAAAAATTAAGAATATTTGTTATAAAAATTAATTTAGTTGTAAAAACTCTCACAATTTGGAAAGATATAAAGAGGCTCTTAAGGAGTCTAAGAAATGCATCAAGTAATGAGACCTTGGGCCAATGTTCTCTTATTTCATGTAAGAAAATTAGAATTCATTAAATTTCTAGAAATATCTAATTTTTTATATATAACATTAACAATTGATTCAAATCAGAGCCTTAATTCTATACTGAACATATTTAGACCCCTTCTCCATTTGAATCACAATTTTTATTTTTTTTTATATTTTTTTTAGCACAATATTTAATTTGATCCAGCAATATATAATTTGATCTAATAAATTTCCCTCTAAACTCTGAAATCAAACTTTGCTTTCTCACATATGGTTTGACAATTAAAGTCTGATTTCTTTACGTAGTCCATTGGCTGCGAGTATTGCCTAACAGATCCATTTCCTTGGAGTTAAAGTAAGAGTTCGGCTTAGCAAGTATCAACAAGCATTGGTTTCATTTGACCGCCGACATCCAAGGGAAATTATTGGGTTCGGACACCGGACGCCGTCCGTGGTCAATGAAAAAGCGCAACATCACCCTCTACTCGGTACTGAGCAGTACCAAGAAGTACCGAGCTCGGTACCGAGCTCAGTATGCTTGATACTATGAAGTACCGAACTCAATACTTCATAGCATCGAGCTCAGTACCGTTCGGTACTGTGAAGTACCGAACAGTAAGCTGTGTCTGATGTCTGAAAATAATAATCCCCCATGACATCCAGTGATGAGCAGGTTCAAGCTAAGTTCTAAAATTTTTTGTGGATTCAAATTTTGCGCAACTAAAAATTCTCGCTCAACTATGGAAAAAGATGATCTATTTATAAATTTTAGGAGCATTTGGCTTTCTTATTGCTTATTAAAAAAGTTTTTTAGTAAAAAAACTTAATTTTTATTAAAAAGTTGCTTTAAGAAGCAGTAAAAAAGCAGTCTCAATCGAAGCCTTAGACGTTGTTTGACTTGAGCCACTTTTTATGGTTTATTGTCCACCATACAAAAAATTTCTGGCGATAGACCTTTTCTTTGTAAAAGCCACTATATTTGGATGATGATTTCCATTTTTTTCTTCTATATTATGTTTAGTTTCATGTATTCTATGGACATAGGCATACATATTTCTTGATTCCCTCCATCAGTGGGCAGAAGAAGACCAAATATACATTGAGTATTCTATATTTCTTGATTTCCCATGCCATGTTCTCGGATCCTTTCCATGCCATGTTCTCGGATCCTTTCCATGCCATCTCCTCTACTATCAAAGATAATTATTATATAATATCTTATCAGGAAGCTTTCTCATGCACTTTTGTATAATGCAACAAATTTTGTAGTATTTTTATGTACTTAGCTCTATATATTCAGCTAATCAAGCTCCATCATTCACGACTTTTTTCCTAAATGGCTCTCCTCCTCCTCCTCCTCCTCCTCCTTTTTCTTCAAAATAGCAATTCTCACCTTCTCCCAATAGTCGATGAAGTTCTTGGACGCCATGACACACAAGTGTACATCATCGACGTCGATAGACATGAGCAACATGAGCTTCTCACTGACGGTGACCTTGAAAGCTTTCACCGTTCATTCCTCCCAAACTCCAACCTCGATTCCGGCGAGCCACGACTGGTATATTTTGCCATGCCTGTTCGGAGGCGTAACTAGCCGCAAAGGCCTGTGACCAGTTTCTCTTGCCGGAACTCCCCCTACACGATCTCGCCGCAGTTTCGCCACCAGGCGATTGTCACTCACGGCCATCTCATCTAACCGCTTCACGACATCATCATGTGCGTCCCAAAGAGCCTCTAAGCTGCGATCCACATCGCCTGACACATACTTGCTACTCTCTGCCATCTCACCAAGCCGTTGGCTCTGATACCAATAACTGATCTGGTATGATGTGGAAGAAGCAGGGTAGGACAATGGAAAAAACAAACAGAGAACTAGAGCAACAATCAAGAAGTATAATATTCAATGTATCAAAAGTTTCCTCCCTCCCCAACAAGGATAAAAGCTTACTGTCATGAGGTCTTTCCTCATGCTGAAAATGACTAAACACCTAAAAAAAAGCTACTTTGTACTATTTTATCTAAAGAAACAAACTAGGATGGTGGGAAGGCAATGCATAACGGTAATTTAAGAAATGGAAAAGTAAGTATACTAATAGCTGAACTATGATGCACCGCATCAATTATTATTTTGCGATCGACTTGAATTAGGTCCAATTATGGATGAACATGATTTAGCTTTCGTTTAGAGCGGCATTTTTATTGTTTCTTAAAACGTAATTTTAATACAAAATTTAAAATTTGTGTACTAAAATTTTATTTTAAGAAGCAATAAAAAAACTATCGCCTTAATCAGATTGAATTTATCAAAATCAAAGTCTATATGACTTCTAAAATAACTTCCCAAGTTTTTTAATTTTATTTTGAGCAACACAAATTTTTAATTTTATGAGTATATATATATATATATATATATATATATATATATATAAGCTTTAGCAGCTAAGTTTCTGTTGAATTATTTTTCTTTAGAAAAGTCGCAGCTTGTAAGCAACCATCATCAGAAAATTTCGGCAAATTCTTTTCTGCCGCCATATTGTGATTATTATATCTCTTGATTCCCTTCATCAATGGCAAGAAGAAGACCGAAGGCATTTCGGATCCTTTTCCATGCCACGTTCTCGGATGCTTGTACCTGCCTTACTTCTCCATTATTACTAAAGATTGCCATTTATAGTTCCTGACCAGGAAGCTTCCTCATGTATTGCAGTATAATGCAATACTTACACGTTGCTATATATATGTTCCTGCGGTTCCATGGTAGTCTTTCACGACTTCTCAGCCAAATGGAGCAGTGCTGCCCCATTGTCTTGTTTCTGCTCATTGAACTTCTTCTACTACAACTACTTATTCAAAGTAGTAATTCTCACCTTCTCCCAATAGTCGATGAAGTTCCTGGACGCCATGACACACAAGTGTACATCATCGACGTCGATAGACATGAGCAACATGAGCTTCTCACTGACGGTGACCTTGAAAGCTTTCACCGTTCATTCCTCCCAAACTCCACCCTCGATTCCGGCGAGCCACGACTGGTATACTCTTACCGCCATGTTCTCAACGGCTTTGCCGCCCGCCTCACTCCTGGAGAGTTGGAGACCGTCAAGTCCAAACCCGGATTCCTCTATGCGCAGTGCGACCGCCACTATCCTCTTGCGACAACCTATACACCAAAGTATGGATTTCTTTACCCGTTGATTGCCATTGTGCAAACAATAAAATAAAGATATTATGAGTGCTTTGAGAACAATTAAAAGTAAACTAGAGGCTATTTTTTTAAGGGAAATTTACATACATACCACTTTATTTTATGCTATTTACATATCTAACACCTAAAATATTAATATTACATGCCTACCACTCATATACAACTTTAATATCAAATATAACACTTTTATAATTCATTTTCTACCATTCATAACATCCTATAAACTTTAATATTTCATTCCATGCACCTAAATTTGTTCAATGGGTGGTAGTCATGTAATATTAATGTTTTAGGTGTTAGATATGTAAATAGCATAAAATAAAGAGGTATGTGTGTAAAAACCCCTTTTTTTAAATGAAACCCCATCATCATTTTATGATAGATCCAAAAGATTATGTTGACTTGAGTGGGAAAGAATATTTATGTTATGTATTAAATATTAATATACATTTTACATGTTAAATATGACATTGAATTTAAATCTTTTTTATGTATTTTGATAATGGCCTCATAAAAATAAATTTTTAGCATATTATATATGACATTAAATTTAATATTCTTATGTACTTTAATAGATACCTTGGTGTGACATCCGATAATGTTTGGGGATCCACTATAATGGGCCAAGGCCTTATCATTGGTATAATCGACACTGGCATTAAGGCTTGCCATCCTTCATTTAAGGATACTGACATGGCACCTCCACCTCTAAAATGGAAGGGCAGTTGCTCTTACAGTGGATTCCATTGCAACAATAAGATAATTGGAGTAAAGGCCTTTCGTGGTGGGTTCAACCCTTCCCCTGAAGACACTGATGGGCATGGAACTCATGTGGCAAGCATCGCGGCAGGCAACTTTGTTAAGGATGCGAATGTTCTTGGAATGGCAAAGGGTGGACCGGCATCTGGCATGGCACCCCTAGCTCATCTCTCCATTTATAAAGTTTGCTTCCCGGGGTGCGCGGAGTCTGACACGTATGCAGCTATAGATCAAGCAATAAAAGATGGAGTAGACATAATCTCGATGTCTATTACCGGAGGGAAAAATTATAAATTTTATAAAGATTCAATTTCACGAGGCTCTCTGGCCGCCATACAACATGGAATTGTTCCAGTTTCAATAGCTGGAAATGATGGGCCTGATGCTGGGACTCTTAGCCATAGCGCTCCGTGGGTGTTGACTGTCGATGCGTGTGGGATCCGAAAATTCGGCCTCGGCCTCCACTCGCTTTTCTTATTTGGCGAGGGAGTTTTAACGAACTAAGTTCCGAGGTAAATTTTGGAAGGCAGATGGGTTTGTAGATAAGACACTACCCAGAGATTTCGCCCTCATTTTATGAGGACTTTATGATCTGAGTTCTGGTTTCCTATAGGCGCAAGCCCCTATAGTTAATTACCCCTCCCGATCACGAGAGAGAACTTTCGATTAAGGCTAGTCATCAATCAGATACGTATAGAAATACGTGTTATCTGGCATATAGTAGCAGCAATAGGTTTGGAATTTGGAGAACTGGATTTGGATTTGGGATTTGAGTTGAAAGTTTGGAAATTTGAAAGGTTTGATATTTAAAAGTAGAAATTGCACCATCTTGCACTTAAAGCGGATGGTGGGGGAATGGATGATGGACCCGATCAAGATCCCATGGTTCCATCGTCCCGGGCCATCGTGGTCCCTGGTCTACTTAGTCAGAGGAGGTAGTCGACCCAACCTGACAGAAGGATCCTTGTCAGCAGCCATGGGTTGCTTCGTCCAAGGGAACCTTGTAGACCGGGGTTGATGTTTGTCTAAGGGGACAAATTTGAATCCACCTTAGCTAACAGAGGGCTTTGTGCCCTATCAATCATATCCTATTGATTCATATCTCAAGGATTTAACGCCATTAAGGAGCGTATTGGCTCTGGCCATAACCGCTATCTGTGGTGCCATTTGGCGGCAAAACCACTCGGTTCAGAGGGCCCCGGGTCATAACCGTTTATCCTGCGGTGCCATTTGGCGGCAAAACCGCCGATTAGAGGACACGTACCACGTCCTTACTGGCAAGAGATTGTTTGAGAATGGATCCTAGTAATATTTTCGACTAGGCATTTGGCTCTTTGTGAGCTAGAGTTTATTTGAATTTGTCCGCCCCG